CACCGCCCCGTGGGCCGCGCTGCGCGCCGCCCACGCCCAAGTCACCGCCGCCGCGGGCCCCGTTGACGTCCTGCTGCTCGTCGCCGGCGTCAACCATGCCGGACGCCCCTTCCTTGAGCTCCCGCCCGCAGACCTCGATGCCGTCCTCCACACAAACCTCCTCGGCCCCACACGCCTTATTCACATCGCACTCACACACCCCTCCGCGCGCGGCCGCCGCCTCACCGTTGCTATCGTGTCCTCGCTCGCCGCGTACCGCGGCGTTGCCGGCGCCTCCGTGTACGGCGCGAGCAAGGCGGCTGTATCCGTCCTCGCCCAGGCCCTACGCGTCGAGCTGTATGATAAGCCCGTCGACATCGTCTGCGTCCACCCCGGATTCGTCGACACAGATATGATCCGCGGCCTCACGCATCCTAAACCGTTCGTCGTTGACGAGCGCCGCGCAGCGAAAGAGGTACTGGAGGCCGTTGTGCGGGGGGATGGCCACCATGCCTTCCCGTGGATCATGGAGAATGTTGTGCTCAGATTCTCCCGCATGCTGCCAGACCCCGTGTACGAGTTCGTTATGGCCAGGATCGCGCGGTGATGACGCGTGTTTGTGTGTGTTGTGTGCAACACCGTCTTCGCATCACTACTGTACCCGTGGCGCGCTACCACGTGCACCTGGCCTAGTTGGGGGGATCACATCAGACGGTCTCGGGGCATAGATGCGCTATCTCAGGGCCTCTCTAGGTCACTACCCGCTACGCACCCTTCTTCCTCTCTCAACCGAGTACACAGTATTGAGTGCATGGTTGCCGGATCCCCGTTGTACCGTATACGTCATGCCCAGGCTCGATATTTGACAGAATATCTTTGTCGTAGCACAGCATCCCCTCCTCCGCTACGGGGTTGTGCACTGTCACGTGTGCGGGTTGCTGAGTTGAGGGGACCGCATTGCGCGGGTTCGGGCATAAAATATCTCAGTTGTCGGCACGTCCTCCCGCTCAAGTGATTACAGAAATATCTGGGGTGTTGCTGGATGCGATGTATACGCGATGGGCAGGCCCGTGAACTGACGCAAGTATCTGTGTCGAGGCATAACATCGCGACGGCCTCGCTGCGGGTTGAGGGAATAGCATTGGACAGGTTCGGACATAAACAAATATCTCACATCCTGGTACGTCCTTCCTCTCAAGTGATTACAGAAATATCTGGGGTGTTGCTGGATGCGATGTATACGCGATGGGCAGGCCCGTGAACTGACGCAAGTATCTGTGTCGAGGCACAACATCGCGACGGCCTCGCTGCGGGTTGAGGGAATAGCACTGGACAGGTTCGGGCATAAAGAAATATCTCACATCCTGGTACGTCCTTCCCCATGGAAGTGGTGTATCGGGGAGTTGGTGGATGCGTTGTACAGTACAGTATGCAAACTATGGACAGGCTCTTGCACTGGCGGTACATGTAGTTTGGACAGAACCTCTATCGCCTCGCTGCAGGTTGAGGCGTAAAATACGTTGCTCATCGGTGTGTTGTTCCCCTCTCAAGTGATTGCAGAGTATCGGGGGATTCGCCTGATGCTGTGTAAAACGTCATGGTCAATCTCGTCAAGTGAGTTAAGTGGTTTGTTGTTCACAACACCTCCTCCACGTTGCCACGGTGCGCTGGCAGGTTGCTTGCTGCTGAGCGCGTGCAAATGGGGTGAGAGGATCGGTAAATTAAAGGACCGGTTGCGCGAGATTAAAAACACCTGGGATATCGCTCATGTCTCCCCCAGGTAAGTAACGTTACCGCACGCCGCATCTGTGGAGTTGGCCGCCGCCGTGCTACGTCAATGACCGGCTCGCGCACTGGCGGTCCGTGCAGTTGCAGTTGCACACGCCCGTCTGCCGCGTGCGGGTCGCCGCGCTGCCGCGCTGCCGCGCGCGGGTGGCGCGTTTGCGCGGATGGCATTGGGCGGGGATGCGGGGCGGCCAGATATTTTGCAAAATCTGGGCGGCCCCACTCCTGCGTGTAATGTTACAAGTATACCTTGTACAGGAAGGCGTCTCCCGGAGTTTCTCCCCGCGGAGACGCGCGGTGCCCGGGACGTTGACGCGGCGCCGCGGAGCAAGGCCGGGGCGCGACAGGCGCAGCGCGGCATGGCGGGCGCGGGCGGAGGTGCGCACACGTGGTGGCCAAGGCTCGCCAACGTCTGGGTGCAACGTCTCGTTGCCCACGCGCCCCCCTTCCCGGGCCCCCTTCCCGGGCCCGGCGTCGCCCGTCGCCTCCGCGTGCGCGCGGGTGCGTGCTCTGTAACTTTACGGGAACCTGTGCCATGCCGCCCAGGTCGTGTCCCTGGTAATGTTACCCGCCGTGCCACGTGCCCGTCCCGCTTCATTGCTGGCGGTGTCAGCGCCGCGTGCTGTAATGCGCCCTTCCTCGATCCCCACGTCACCACGTGGACCACGTGGTGATCCAATCAACCACGTCAGTTCTGCCAAGTTACCTCCCAGTTGGCCCCCCGCCTTTTGCCTCCGTACGCCGCTTTTTCCCTCCCGCTGCCGCACACGGAAATCCATCCCGCCGCATCTATCGCTTGGCGCCCCGCCCCGCCCTCCAAATTCCAATTCCGAAAGCCCCTGCGTTGATACCGCACCGCACCGCCCCCATTGCGCCCCTCTCTACTCCACATCCGCCCTCCCCCGCCCCACTGACAGCCCCACACACGGTATAACTCTGGAAAGAGAGAAACAAAGTAGGCCGTTGTACGTTTAGCTCGCGTAACCTTGAGTCCTTAGAGAGCACCAATAAAATTTCTCTTCCGAATGTTCCCTTGACTTCGACTCAGTAGCATAGTCCCGTCAAAAAAAAGAAAAAATTTTAAGTCGACGCCGGCGAGTGCGGTGAA